TCATCCATGTTTTCCGTGGGGCGTTCTTATGCACCTTCCAGGTTTTTGGCACGGGTGCTTCAATGGTTATTTTGGGCCAGGAGTTGCTGTTCAAATTAGGGTCCAAATATTGTTTTAAAGTCTCAAATTCTATAGTAAACATTTGGTATTGTCTCTTGTGAATTTTGGCACCAGGGACCAGGTTTATGGCGCAATCACAGTCTTTGTGGAGGGAAGGCCGAAGCTTCCTTCTTTCCTAACATATCAATGAAGTCTGCATATTTACTTTATAGATTGGTCATCTTTTTTGTTAAGGGGGGCGTGTAGGAGGCTTTGGAGGGCTGATCATAGTGAGAAAGGCATTCGGGTTTTCAAAGCAATAGACTGGTTTTTCCACTTTATAGTGGGGTCCTGTTGTAGGTTCCCAGCACTATTGGAAGATCTGTGTAATCTGCTATGAAAAGAGTTAACTCTTTTAAACACTAATTTAAACTTCAAAGGCACTGTAGATGAGTAATGGAGCCTGCTTTTAAAATTTGGCCATCAATAGTTATCACTGGCAATTGAGACTTCGGGAACTGTAGGTATCATAGGTTTATGAACTGTGGCTAGGCTTATGAAGTCAGAGGTTGAGCCAGAATCTATCGAAACAGGGACCACTGGGAAGTATCAGGATTGGATCAAATTTTATTAATGTACCTGAGTGGAGATAATTAACCATTCAGTGCTTTGGGTAGCTCCCCCAGGAGCTCATGAAAGGAGGGGCTTGTTGTCCAGGTGGTGGGTAATGGAGACATTGCTGCGCTGTCTGTTGTCTCTCCTGGGAGGTTTTGCTAGGACAATTTTTGATGATGTGGCCAGGCTCTCAATAGAAACAAAAGGCTAGTTGTTTGCACCTTTGCCGTTCTGCTCCTGGAATTTTATCTGATGGTTCCAATTTGCATTGGCTCTTCAGCATCCAAATCAGAAGGGCAGGGAAGCTAGGGGAAGTGATGGAATCAGGTGTGGAAGTAGTTGGCTGGGGCTGCCGAAAAATGCTTTTAAGACTCAGCTGTTAGCAGCAGCTAGGTAGAGATCTTGTAGAACCTGGGGAATATCTTGTTTTATCAGTTGTGTCATTATGGATTTGTTGAGTCCCATTTTGGAATTGTGCCTGTAAGGTTTTCTCATTCCAATCCAGATCTGCTGCAGTGATATTGAAATCTTCAACATAAGTTCTGACAGAGTTGTTGCCTTGGCGGAGTTGGAAGATGTGTGGTTTGGCAGTTTCTATTTGAATAGGGTCCAAAATGCTCTCTAAATCTAGTGAGGAAGTTTGAGTAACTATCCAGGATGGGGTCATTGGTTTTGATGAATGGAAGGGTCCATTTGTCAGCGGAGTTAATTAAAAGCATGAGGATAAAAGAGACTCTTGATCTGTCTTATCAGAAACTTCCTAGGTTTGGTGTTGATGAACACATCACACTGTGCTAAGAATGTTCTCATTTTATGAATCTCAGCAATAGACAGTCAGGAGACTTGGGGATAAGCAGGGCAGGAACCGGCAGTTGTGCTTGGGCTAGTGGAGCAGGTGTTGCAGTTGCAGGGGAATGCCTTGTTGACTCAGGATCTGCATTTGCTACATTATCTGTTGAAAATTGGCTTCAAGATTTCTAATGTCATCTTCAATGCTCTCTTGGCATCTGCTGATGCCAAAGCGTCTGGTTTGTTTCCTATTGTTCCAAATGGCAGTCCAATCTCTTTGTGAAGGCCTCCAGTGATGAAGCTGCCTGGATTGATTTCCCCATGTTGATGGGGGATCTGTCTGTGGCTCAGCTGCAGGGTAATGGGTCATTTCACTTGCCGCTGTGTGGAAGGAGTAAAAGTCTCCATTCCAGTACATTGCAGAGCCTTTGCTAGGGAAGGAGGGGGAGTATTCACTCACATTTGGCTGCACAAGTTGGTCTGGGAGTCTCCAATCATCTGGTCGGCTACTGGGTGATTGTTCTTGCCCTCTCCAGACATGTGTTGAAATAGCCTTTTCAACCCCCTCCGGTTGTGACCGCATATTTCCAGACGCTATAAATCTCCAAATTTACTCCTCCACAAATTCCTTTACACTTTGGAAGATTTGCAGAGAAGCGACTTGTCCTCTGCTTCCATTCTCAAAGGCTCTCATCTTCATCTTTGCTGATATTTTTCGCTGACCCGGGTCAGGTCAGTGATGGGAGTCAGCACTCCTCCCAGCCCCCCGTGCCCAGATTCGGGTTTTCACAGATGTGCCAACATGACTCTCTTAATAAATTAGAATTTTGAGCAATGCTTTGCTTTGGACTCTGATTTAATTTTGGATATTATTTGGAACCCTGACATTAACCTGAATCTCCCTTAAAATATTTCACCAGCTACCCCTACAAGCCCCAAATTTCCATTGCTCAGCAAGATAATTGTAAAATGTGTTTTGCACATTTTACAATGTTTCTTACCACTTACTGAATCACTGCAGTTGTTAAGTTAGTAACATGGTTGTTACTAACAACGGCTTTCCCATTGACTTTGCTTGTCAGAAAGTTGCAAAAGGTGATCACATGTTCCCTGGACACTGCAACTGTCATAAATACATATCCCTGCAGTGTCACCAATTCAGAATTTTTACTTATCGTTTTATTATGCCCAGTATGGGCTTCAAAGTAAGATAAGCAATTCGATTTTATATGCATGACCACTTACTTAGTAGATGTTTTCTCTAGGATGCATGCAACTTCTTGCTATTTTGGATATCTATATCATCTTGGTATATTAAAATTTTCTTTGTTCTGCTTAACATTAGATGCCATCATATACATCTGCCATATCTGATTAATCATTGGTACTAGCCAATGATTAGCTGATTTTATTTTCTGATTATTTCTGTAACTCAATTATTTCTTAATTTTGTTTTACAGACTAAAGTTTCTGCTGCGAAAGAGTTTCAACATAGAACTACAACATTTTGGTGCCGACTTGTAGGCTCTGAAGATACGACTGATCATAGCATTATCAGTCCCTATACTTCTCGTGTTTTGAAACCTTATATCAGGTATAGATATGCTATTGGGAAGACATTTTTTCTTCTGGATCCTTTATATTCTTTGATCTTGATAACTGTTGATAATTAAGAAAATAACACTGGTCAGCTATAGCACTCCTATTGCTTTTCCTCATTGCATTGTCCTGAAGAAGATAAAAGACAAGTAAAAGGTGGCTTTCAGGATGGGTGGCTTCTGCATATAGACAAGGAAAGGGAAAGTGGAGTTTCCTTCTTCCTACCACAGTAAAACCCTGACTATACTAAGATTATGATGCTAATAAAGGACTCACCTTTAATCCAGAATTTATCACATGGCAACATATGCTAAACATTTTGATAATTTAACATTATGTGAAAAAATGGAACATATACCTTACTTGCTGAAGGAAGAGCTGGTGAGTTTAATGGGAGATTAAATACTTAGATTTAATGCACACATCCGGTGACATCAGTGTCATAGAATCATGATGGAAGAGAGCTGACGTCGTGACAGTATGACGTGCGATCTTGATGCTCCGAGATCGCAGTTGAATTCCTGCCCCTGGACGGTCCTTTCAGACTTAAACTGTCCCGCAGAGACGGTGATTGAGAAGGATACCTCCTTCTGATCTCAGGGACATCGCCAAGTCCCTGAAAGATCCAGGAATAGCCTTCTTTTCCAACGACAGCAACACAGCTAATGAAGCTGCTGAAGTTGGGAGAGCTCCGGAATGGGAAGAAAGCAGAAAGAGAAAGTGTGTCGAATTGGTGAGGAAATTTTATTATTAGAGGAAGAGACTACCCAAGAAAAAAAATTAAGATTGAAGACAAAAGACTGTAGGCGGCGAGATTGATCTGCATTGAACTTAGTGTGTTATCCAATTTCTAATTTCTTTTTTTTTTTCACGATGGAACTTTTGCAGGGGCTCCCTATTTTTTAAACTGAATGGATTAATTTTTTCTTCTTTTTTCACTTTTGCTTATCCCTATGGGTTCAAATTCTCCTTTTTTAAAATAATGCTTGGTTTGATTGATTGGATTGTTTTTGATCTCCATTTAAGGTTTTTTTTTCTTTCTTAAACTT